TGGATGGATGCTCAGAATGATACAGGGATCAACAACTGCAACATTGTTGTGGATGCCCCATCCCTGGAGGTGTTCCAGGCCAGGTTGGATGACGCTTCGGGCAACCTGGTGTAGTGGAGGGTGTCCCTGCCCATGGCAGGGGGGTTGGAACTGGATGATTTTTGAGATCCCTTCCAACCCAACCCATTCTGTGATTCTATGAATTATTCAGCCCCGTGCACCTCCTGCAGACATGGTACCACTTCACGAAGCCCCATGCTTCAACTCCAACACTGGCAGAGCAAAAAAAAAAAGTGTGTAAGTGAAATATCTGCTCACGGCTCCATCGCTCTCTGATCCCGTCACCTACACGCAGAAGAAAATGTAAAGGGCTTAAAAGATTTGTGCGTAGCTGCGCTTGGAAGAGAGCTGATTCCATCTGAGACCGCGATTATTTATTCTCCTTTATCGTACAACGTGCAACATATGGGCCCCTTTCTCCGCCGCGGATGACTAAACGGTGGCATCTGGTGCTGCGTTATGTTGCGAGTGTAAAACAACCGCGACAAGCTCCCCTTCGAGCGGCGCGTGGCCGTTGGCATCACAAAGGCACTCTCGGTATTTTCGTTCCAAGGTGCTGTCACGGTGCGGCGCGATGTTGGCTCGATGGAGGACAGAGAAGGGGACAACCTCGAGCCCTTCTAGATTCGACCAGTCTACCAGTTTCCCAAGGAAGAGGAGACCCTTGTACCCAACCCACCAGCCACCCCCCGGTTAAGGAGAAGGGTTTTCCTCAAACCCTTTACAATTTGACCAGTCTGTTGGGCTCACGCTGACAGCATCACCAGGACAAATCCCTCTGGACAGCCCGCGTGGTCAGAAGTTGGTCATCTAACCTATTCAGGGACCCTCATGGGCAGCAACACTGGGACAAATCCCTTCTTTTCCCTGTATCAATTGTTGACGTTTTCAAAACTTATAGATGACAAATTTTATTATGTATGCTCGTGACAGGGTACAGGTTAGAAGACAGCCGGTGATAGGGACTGACTGCGAAAACAGAACTCATCAGTGATGCTTTGCAATAGCTAGCAAGGTGTGAGTAACTACGTGCCCGTAACACAGAGCTCTTACCCAATAGACCTCCCTATGGGGGGAAGAGAGAGGTCCAGCCCGTCAGCTGGTCCCAGACGTTCCCATGGAGGTCTTCCCCCAACACCTTCTTCTCTTCAGCCATTTTTATACTTTCAGGTGGAGCTCGAGTGACTCCAGTCACACGTACCTTTGTCAGGATTGGGGTGAATTTTCCTCACTTTGCTCTGAAGATGTAGACTAGAAGAAATTCAGGGCACATGCTCGGTGAGGGGTGGTCGCTGACCAGAGGCAGGTAGCTTTTGGGATGGAGGTGTGTTTTGGTATTCTAGTGATATTATAATGAGCAAAGTTCACCTAAAGGACAAGATTTTTGCAACTTGTTGAACATTGGCATGGCCAACTTGCCTGGCTAGGTCTTGGTGACCTGACTCCGTTCACCACCATTGTTGAGGCAGCCGTTGCGATCCGTCTTCCAGCCGTTCTCTATCCCTGGAAGCAGGGATGAGCTGTGGTGCCTCTGTACCACTCTGCTCCCCATTCCAAGGATATTGTACGTTCTTTTCGGCCAGGGCAGGCCTTGTCCATGCCAATCGCGTTCCGTTCCTGGGAGCAGCAACTGTGTCTCAACTCAAAGCTGCTCCAGATGTAAGCTGAACTTTGGGGAACAGCCGTCTTCCATTCCTCCCATTTTTGGTTATTTTTCCACAGCTGCTTTGGTGACTTTCGAAACCATCCCATTCAGAGCCAGGCGTGTTTCTTGGAGGATGCCGAGATTGCTGGGAACTGGGTGTTGGGTGTTTTTTTTCCCTTCATGCCTCAGCTGGTCCCTGCAGATGGGATCCCTCCGTCACCCACTGCAGCTTCACACCCATCATGGATATTGTCTGCTCTTCGGATCGGGCCCTGGAGCACAGAGATGGGTGCATCTCGCTCCGAGCAGCTGAACAGCTTTCGTCGGTGTTGCTTTTCAAAGCAGCTTGAGCAGCAGCGTGGATTGAGGCAGATTTTGGGAGCGCCAGAGCTCATGTCCCTCAATGAGCAGCCTGGGCACCCATGGGTGATGCCAGCTCCGGCACACTTAGCACCTTATTTCTGTGCACATGCACACCAGGACGCAGCGGCGCTGAGCAGACCATGTGGATCTGCTGCAGCTGAACATCACTGCAAAATTTTGCGTCTCGTTGGCACTTGAGACCAGGGATGATGCTCACAGGAGCAGGGGAAGGGAGGCGGGGATTTCTGGCTGGTGAGTAAAGCAGAGCCAAAGAGGGGTTCACCATCACATGGAGACCCCTTTTACCCTCCTGCAGGCAGGGTCTGAGCTTTTCTCAGGTCTGTCCTTGGCATCGTGCAAGGAAAGACCTTGAACTACCGTCTCATCATGAGGAGGACCTGTGGCTCATCTAGAAGATGGGTATGCTGTAGGGCTGCCACGTCCTTGGTTCCAGCTGGTCCCATAAAGCCTGCATCAGCCTGTTAGGAGACAGAAGGAACTGGGAACCAGTGTAGTGCCCATAGATGAAGCAAGTGAAGTGCTGGAATGAGCAAAGCGCCTCTGGATTCCTGGATGGGAACTGTTCATGGCAAAATTGTTCCTAGAGAAGGAATTACTTTGACTTGGCTGAGTTGGGAGCTTGTCCAGCCCAGGACAAGTCCTGCCTTGAGCTTGTCCAGCCCAGGACCCAGCCTGCCTTGATCCAGGCAGGATCACCCTCTGAAGCCTGGCATCTTCCCCAAATTCTCCTTTAGCTTCCAGGTTTCATGCCCCTCCAAGGCAGACTGTTCCCACACCCAACTGTCCTCACCACAAGCCATGTTCATCCCAACATCTCATCTTTCTCTTCCTGGCTGCAGTTGAAGCCCATTATGGGTTTGTAACATTTGAGTCATTCCTAAGTCAAAGCCACAGAGAGTTTTACCAGTGTCCCAGCACTGCGAGCTGGTGCACAAGGTGAACATCTTTCCATAGAGAGCTTTGGAGAGCTGGAGCTCTGCTCTCACAGGAGATTTCATGGAGCAGACCTAGAGCAGAGCATGGGCTCCAAATGACTCATACCGTGGTAGTTTTGTCATAGTTACCCCAAGTCCATGCCTGAAGGGTTCATGGGGGTCATTATTTATCCAACAGCATCTGCAACGTGCCTCCACTTGGCGGGTCACCTCTTTTCTCCTCCCTTTCCCACAGATCTCCAGAAGACACCCAAAACCAGCACCGCAGAGCCTTGCCGCTCAGTCCTAGGCTCGTAATCCATCAACATATGTTTACATATTTATTTTAGGATGTGATTAATGTTACTACAGTTTTGACAGGCGTGTTTTTGTTCAGCCACCGTGCTTTGCCAGCACAAAACGTTCTGTGTTTGGAGCGAAGCACAGCAAATTGGACTCTGCTTTAAAAGACAAGCAAGGAGGGGGGTGAGGGGAAAGCTATTTTCTGCTCTCTAGCAAAGAGTAGTGCCGAGCGTTCCGCAAAGAGGAACGGGAGAGGCTGCCAAGCTGCAGACAGAAAAGGAACACGGTAGATTTGGCCATGGGGGCCAGAGAGTGCCTGTTTTTCCTCCAGCGTGTTCTGGGCTCTGAATTAAGGTTTCCGTGGTGGATTGTGGAGTCCTGCTTGTCTTGTCTTGGCATTTTGTGTTAAATAAAGCGGTAACAGCAGAAGGGTTTGCGTTGCAGTAGCACCGAGCAGAGCAACTTATGAACCTCACACGAGGTGACGTGCAAAGGGGGGTGAAGACAACAGGTTCCTCATCATCATGGGGTGCCAGGAGAGCAGATAATGTGTATCTGGCTCCACAGGGCTCTCCCTGAGCACGGGTGTTCAGAAAAGGACAGGATTGACTTGGCTGACTTCTCCGAGGCTGCAGCAGGTGCTGCTCTGCAACCCAGCACCGTGTCCTGTGGCAGCACCGCTCGGAGAAGAGCCGTCCCTCCATGGGGAGCAGGAAGGTTTGGAGGCTCCTTATGGCACCGGTACACCCTTTTCTTGGGATTTTTCACCTCCTGCAGCAATCTCTAGTTGCCGAACTGTTCTTGGTCCTTTCCCTGTGCTTCCCAAGTCCTTGGCCCTCTCCGAAGGCTGTGATCATCAACGAGAAAAATGCCTGAAGAAGGGAAGGATGCAGATGCGGCAGCTTTGCTCACCCCAGAGCAGTCACAACCATCGCTGGGATCTCACTGCCACCCTTTGCTGCTCCTCAGCAGCACCAGTGCCGTCTGCCTTGTCCCCATGAGTTGCACATAGTGGTGCAGTTCGGAGGTTGGAGTGAGCCAGATGGGAGCTGTGGACACACTGATGCCAACGACCCCATGTTTGCTCTCACCAAAGTTTGTAGAATTATACAATCACAGAATGGTTTGGGTTGGAAGGGACCTTGAAGATCATCCAGTCCCAACCCCCCTGCCATGGGCAGGGTCACTCTCCACTACACCAAGTTGCCCAAAGCCCCATCCAACCTGGCCTTGAACACTGCCAGGGATGGGGCAGCCACAGCTTCTCTGGGCAACCTGGTCCAGTGCCTCAGCACCCTCAATGTAAAAAATTTCTTCCTTAGATCTACTCTAAATCTACCCTCTTTCCATTTAAAGCCATTGCAAGTTGGTGATGATTTGCAGGTCGGAGCCTCTCCTTCAGTCCCTGCGTGGGCAGGATTTTCCCAACGGTGCAAGAAAGACCACGGAGCTGGTCTTGGAGAACTTCTGGTGCTGCACGTCTCTGATGGCACCATCCTACTTTGGCAGCTCTGGAGCTGCTAAAGGCTCTCGCTTAGTAAAAGTCCTGCTGTGACCTCCCCTTACAACAGCACCGCTTGGTCCCCTCCTTAAAAACATCATGAAAATGGTGCTCTGGGGGTTCCTCTGCGGCAGGAGGAAGGGAGATGCTGCACCCCAGTCCCCTGACACCCCGCTCCTCCCTCTCTTTGCAGCTGACGTACCTGCCTCCGCCGTGGGGTGAATGTCGCTCGTCGGATATGGGCTTAGACTTCTTTCCCGTTTACAGTATCACGGCTTGCAGGATCGACTGCGAGACCCGCTATATCGTGGAAAACTGCAACTGCAAAATGGTTCACATGCCAGGTCAGTGTGCCAGGGGGTTGGGGGGGCAGGGACCCCCTCCTTCCACCCAGCCTGGGTCATTAGGGGTTAACAAGCTAGAAAAGCACCAGGGATTAGAGGACCTGGGAATACCTTTCCCTAAGGAAAGAAGGATGCCAGTAGCCTTTGCAAAATGCTCTGAAACAGGGGTAAGATGTGGCAGAGGGACATGGGTCTCATTTCCCCTTATTTAGCCCAAATTAACCCCCCTGGGTGGTATTTCTAGCAGCCCCCTCCTCCGTTTGCAAGAAAAGGCAGAGGTGGGGCAGATGCCGCAATACTTCTGCCGCCCGGCCCCAGCCTGGGTTCCCGTTGCCAAAGGGAGGTCCCCGTGGTCCCCGCGGAGAGCCCAGCTCCCTCGCAGCGGCGGTGGCTGACGATGTGTCCTTTCCATGCAGGGGATGCTCCCTTCTGTACCCCGGAGCAGTATAAGGAATGCGCAGAGCCCGCGCTGGGTGAGTACCGAGAGAGATCCCTGGGTACCACGGGTGTCCCAGGCTGGAGGTACTTCCAGCAGCCTGCGTCCTCCTGGCTGGCAAGGCTGGGGTGATGTAGAGCAGCAGCAATCCGGCGATGGGTTTTAATGAGACTCAACTTGTTGGGAAGGGCTGGGTGCACCCTGGGATAAAGTTTCTTCTACGTGGGACATGGGGCTCCATCAGCACAGATGTAGCATAACCTCCATCGCAGGTTATGTAGGAGAAGAGCACCTCTGGGTCTGGGTTTGGATCTGGGTTTGGGATGGAGGGACCCATTCTAGGTCTCTCAATCACCACATGTTCCCTGAGCAGTTGCTGGTAACGGAGTGTAGCCTCCAGCAAAAGGCCTCTCTCTGATGGTGGGGATGGCCGTGTGTGAAGTGGGAGAGAAACGGCCAGGACTGAGTTTCCTGCAGCTCTTCTGAGATCTGACTCCAGGAGATCTAACTCCATGACCTTTTCCAGGTTTACTTGCTGAAAAGGACAGCAATTACTGCATCTGCAGGACACCCTGTAACCTGACCAGATACAACAAAGAGCTCTCCATGGTCAAGATCCCCAGCAAGACCTCGGCCAAGTACCTGGAGAAGAAGTTCAACAAGTCAGAAAAATATATCTCGTGAGTGTTGGAGAAAACAGATCTCCTTTGCTTTATGGGGGAAAAGTGTCTGTAAAGCCCTATTGGCTGTTTAAACCAGCCTGTGCTGAGACCAGACCTTGCCAATGCCCCCATCACCAAACAGAGGTGTGTCCTCCGGGGAGGGTTAGGGCGAAACCCTTGAAGAGATGAGCCATAGGTTGTTTTCTTCTCAGTAGACCTGTTTCCAGACAACTGCATGTTCCTTCCCTGGCCTTGTCTTCATGAGCGTGCTCCATACCCACCAAAAAAAGTGCAAACACTCCTCTTATTTTGACAGGGAACCCCGGTCCTCTCTGAGATATGACTTCCTACCTAAGTCTGGGCTGTGGACCTCAGGCAGCTGCTGTCTTGGACCTCTCCCGACCCTGGGCACCTTATTGCCTTGAGGAGGCAGCGAGAGTTACTCCATTAAACATCCTTTGGACTCTTGCTGTTACCATCAAAGAGAGATCCAGAGCTCAGATCCTCAGAGATCTTGGGGAAACATTTTCTAGCTTCTGCTAAGGCTGCCAGAGTCCTGATGGTGCCCTATGGTCTTGGTCTCCAGGAGGTCCAAGTGTCTGTGGGTTGCTGAGGACCCCAGAAAGAGAACAGTCTGGACAGAGAGGGGAATAAAGCCTTAAAGTCCCTTTTTTTTTTTTTTTTTTGTCCCGAAGCACACGAGGCTGCTGGTGGCCGATGAGCTGATGCTGTTGTCCTCTTTCTACAGAGAGAATATTCTTGTGCTGGACATATTTTTTGAAGCACTCAACTATGAGACAATTGAGCAGAAGAAAGCCTATGAAGTGGCAGCCTTACTTGGTAAGGAGAGACCAGGGGTGCAGTTTGGAGTCTGTGTGAGCCTGTGCTGGAGTCCATGCGTGTTTCTGGCACAGATGGATGCCATGAGTGCGTGCACAGCTTATGTGTGTTGCCTGGAAAATCCCAGCAAGGTCCAGCACCTTCCTGGCCAGCATGCTTTCAACCTTGTCTCTTTATTTTCCTTCCAACACCAAGCTGTCCCAGAAATGTCCCAGGGACCACAGCTCATCTGTGTGTCACCTTCAAAAGGTTAACGTGAGCTGCTCCATCTCTGCTTGCTGCCAGGACCTTGTTATTTGGAAATCCCGGGGCCAAGCGGGCGGTGGATGCCCTCTGTGCTGCCCTCTTGCTGGAAGGGCAAAGGGTGGAGGAGGAGGACAGCTCTTAAAACCATCTACCCATCACCTCTTACATGCTCCAAATCCATCCTCCTTTCCAGTCAGGACCCTCAGCTCTGCCTTTGGGTGGTTCTCTGCAGCTTGATGGAGAAGGTGGAGAAGTTGTTGGGTTGCTCGGCCTCATACTGGGTCAAGCTTTGTGGGTGCCAGCTACAGATTTGGGTCCTTGGGACCCACTGGGGTTGGTCAGGAGAAGAAGTATGCTCTGTGCCCATGCTCAGCCTTGCAGCCCCTCCGTGTGCACCCTGAATCCCCAAATCCTTCCTGGGATGCAGGGAGCCATCAGCACCTTTGTTTGAAAGCTGGAGCTGGGCCATCCCATGGGACTGGGTGCTGTGATCCTGCCCTGAGATGGGGACACCGTAGGGAGCAGAACACCCCACGTCACCCCAAGGTAGCTCCACAATATGTATGTGCTGTGAGCCCTTCTGCACCTGTCGTGGGTTCCCAGAGGGGGCTACAGCGAGGAAGAGGAGGCTGGTGATGAAGCCTCTTCGACACAACCTTCCTTATTTGCACAATGTTGCATGACCCTTGTTCCCAGGGCACTGTGGGTTTTGGGTAGAGTCTCATCTTCCCCCAAAGTGCTGCCCCTTTGGAACCAGCACTTTGCCCCCAGGCACCTTTTTCCCTCTTTCTGATGTCTCTGTCTCATGGACACCCACAGCGAAGGTCCCGCAGCCCCTCCACCTGCGGGTGCCTTTGCTCTGGGGGAGCAGCACAGTGTTTTGCAGCAAAATCCATGAGATTTGTCTTCCCTGAAGCACACGGTGTGGCATAGCACGACAGCTCATGTCAGCAGTTACCTTCCCAGCGGATTCCTGGAAGTCTCCTCTCCCCATGGTGCCTCCTTCACAGCCCTTGGGAACTTGAGCAGAGAGAGCCTTGAGAAGCTCTCCTAGAAAAGCAGGCCATCTCCCTTTCCTTAATTTGGCAGGTTTGGGGTATTTTTTCTCAGCTCCAGGGGGTGTTACTTAATTCTTCTGCAGCATGTTTCTTCTTTCCCCCACCCAGTTTGGGAATTGGGCTGTGGGATTCCTGGGATGAAACCTACCATCTAACTGTGACAGATGGCTTCCTCAGATGCCCAGGAGATGAGATCTGAGGAAGAAATTCTTCACTCTGAGGGTGCTGAGGCACTGGCACAGGTTGCCAGGAGAAGTTGTGGCTGCCCCATCCCTGGCAGTGTTCAAGGCCAGGTTGGATGGGGCTTTGAGCAACCTGGTGTAGTGGAAAGTGTCTCAGCCCATGGCAGGGGGTTTGGAACTAGATAATCCTGAAGGTTCCTTCCAACCCAAACCATGCTGTGATTCTGTGCCAGCGCCGTATTGCAGCAGTATCACATCCTCATTAGGCTTCCAGCTGATGGTCTCCTTAGCAGGAGAAATTGGTGGCCGGCAGCGTCCGTCCTGGGATGTTTTTCCGTTAGAGCTGTTGGTGTTTCTGGAGGTGGTGCATTTCCCCATTCTTTGGGGACAGCGGCACCCAGGGCAGCTGCACCACGGTTGCACAGGTGCCTCTAAGAGCATTTACTCCAGGGTTAAAAACCATCCATGTGTTGTTCTCTCTCCTAGGTGACATTGGAGGCCAGATGGGGCTCTTTATCGGTGCTAGCATCCTCACTATACTAGAGCTCTTCGATTATATATACGAGGTAAGACCCTCGCCCCTCACTTTATCCCTCTGGCAGGGTGTGGGTTTGCCAGTCACAGACCAAGACCATCCATACCCAATGTGCCCATGTGGCTTATTAATTTTAATTAATGATACCACTTAATTAATGCTCTACAATAGTGGAATATAGTTGGTCATGGCCACGTAGTGCGGTGCCCTGCATCAGCAGGGGCTCTCGGGGTGGGGGTGGGGGGCTGGCACGCAGCCATGGCATGGCATAGCCAGGTTGGCTTGGCACGCTGCCTCTGCTTAACAAGGTTTGCTTCTCGCTTGGGCTAATTAAGCAACACTTTCATGTGGCTGTGCTGCTGCCCACCCTGAAGCTCGCACTGCCTGGGGTGCTGCCTGGGGACCTGCTGCTGCACCCTCCTGTCCCCGTCCCTGGTGGGGCTTCACGCCGTGGTCACCTTCTCATAAAACCACCTGTAATTGAAGCCTGAGTCCCCGTCCCGCCGTCAGGTGGAGGCACGGCGAGGAACGGCGAGGCCAGACCTTGTACTGCTGCCGGGGAGGTGGGGAAACCCTGTTATCTGCTGTCTGCAGCTCTGCCAGCAGCCCTGGAGCAAGGAGCTTTCTAGGAAGCACCGAGACGAGCTCCAGCACGGTCCCACGGCTCCGCGGTGGCCAAGAGCAGCTGCTCTGGAGGGAAGCAGCAGCCCTCTTTAATGGGAATTATTGCAATAAGCCGGCTGGAGGGGATGGTTCTTCCTGGCAGCCCTCCCTCCTCCCGCCCTCCAGCAGCAGTTAGGACTCCTGTATGTTTTTCACCTCTTTTTGCCCAAGCGAGTTCGCCCGGCGAGCGCCGGGGGCTCAGCCCAGCGGCACAGCTCAGCACCTCCCAGGGCTTTTCAGCTTTTCTGTGCCACGGCGCCAGCACAGGCCTCGGAGGTGCGATGCTGCCACAGCCTGCGGGCATCGTCCCTCCAGCGTCCTCCGTCACCGCAGATTCCAGCTGCTCTCTGCACCCTGCCTGCCATTTGGGCTTTTTCCACTCTATTTTTTTCACCTAAATGGACTGTGGTCCAAAATAACCCTCCCTGGAGGGAGATTTTCTCAGTCTTCATCACCACATTGCAGAAGGCTTTGTGTTGGGGGTCAGGCTCATGATTTTCCTTTAGAAAAGGGGAAACTGAGGCAGGGAGAGGGGCTGCAGCTGCTTGTGAGCTGCTGAGGAACACCCGCTTTGCACGGAGATGACCTCAAGGACCCAAACCTGTCCTGTTTTATAGCAGGAAAGAATGACTTCATGGCTTGGGGTAGTTTCAAGGAGGATGCAAACAGGACACAGGCAGTTCCCAGCGAACTTAGCACATCCCAGCCCAAGGTCCTTTGCCGTTGTCCCTGGAAAGGTGCCTCCTGCTAATTCAGCTCATCTACTCATTGCCTGGTGATTTTAATGCAACGGCTTTGGGCCCCCTGCACCCAAAAATGCGATATCTCAGACCTGCTCTCGTCCCCTGTCTCAGCCCTGTATCATGATGGGACCAGGGGTTTTTAATCCCATGGGATGTTGCAGTCAGGGATCATCCATGGCTGTTACATTAACGTGTGGCAAAGCAGCTGGGGGCACAGGGATGTCAGGCAACCACGGTCTCTGCTCCGAGCTGGCTGGGGCATCTTGGAAAAACCACTTAATGTTATTGAAGTCGGGCTGGTGGCTTTACGTTTTAAGACAGTGACTCCCCGTCACAGCCCCTCCTGGGCAGCTGTGAGCACTTGGTGGCATTATTCTGCAATAAAATATATTGAAAATGACAAGCAGAAAGCTCGTGATGGCTTCGGAGGGCAAACAAAACCTGAGCCTCAGTTTATATCTCGGGCTGAATGCACACAATATTTCATAAAAATCGCCTATTCTTGGCTTTCTTGGGGTTCTTTCATAAGGACATAATAAGAAACCTGGCAAAGTCTGGGTTTTTCTTCTCTGTTTTACTCCTTTGTTTGACATCTGCTTATAAAACTTGGCAAATAATTTCCTCTTACTGTTGTTGTGGGGTTTTTTTTTTTCCTTTTTTTTTTTTCTTCGTTTTGAGCAAACATGGCCTAAGAGAGAATCCTGTCTCCTTGGAGAAGCACCCCGTGCCCACCTGGGGATGCACCAGGAGGTTCACCCAGCTATGTCCTATGTGAGGCACCTTCATGGTCACCCACAACAGATATTCAACCCACACTAGACAGGGAGAAAAGGAATAAAATGTCTTAAACACTGCCTAATCTACATGATTGATCTATCTGCTCCATCAAGGTGGGGTTCAGCCCACCTAAAACTCATTGCATTTTCAAGCAAAGCATTTGTAAACCCCTTGAGGTCACCAGCAAATGGATACAACTGTTCTTTTCTGGTGGATTAGCCAAAATCGGACGAAATATTGCCCCGAGAGATGTTTTTTTTGCATCGTTCTCTCAGTGCAGTCCTCCTCTTGGTCCTGCCCCAGGGCAGAGTTGTGCTCCTGGGCTCATCGGGGTCCCGAATCCCCACCACGTATCTCTGCATCCACCTCGCTTCCTAAGGAACTGACCCAATTGTCCACATTTTTAGCTTGCTTCTTTTATTTTTTCTTTTCCCCCAGTGGAAGAGTTTCAGAAAAACACTCACTTTTTAACCTTTCTGGGATTTCCCTTGAAAATACGTTCTTCAGCAGCAGTGGCTGCCAAGGAAATAATGTGGCTATGAAGGGAACTGGTGCTCACATAGCTGACATTTTTCAATAAACCCCCAAATATATTTAAAAAATTGAGGATTTGGTTTTTGTTGGTTTTTTTTTTCCAAGGGAAGAGTTCAGTTTTGACACATGGAATGGTTTCCTTTGAAAGATTGTCTCCTTCTCCATAGCCTTTGGAGGGTGTCCTCCAAACCCAGCGTATCCCCTGGGGCTGTAGACCCAGCCTGGTTGGGTGAGGCTGACCCATGGCTCGTGGATGCCCACTCAGGCTGGGCAGATGTGCTTGCCTCTTCCTGCCCACCTTAACCCAACCTCCCTCTTTTGCAGCTCATCAAGGAGAAATTATTAGACCTGCTCGGGAAGGAGGAAGAGGAAGGGAGCCATGATGAAAACGTGGTAAGGACTATTGGGAAAGGGGAGTAAATTTCCCTGCAATTGGCTCCATAGCCAGGGGAAGTTGCTCGATACAGATCTGGCATTCAGCCCCGGCTTGAGTTATTGACCCCCCCTGCAGTGCTGCGTCCAGCTCTGGGGTCCCCAACAGCAGAAGGACGTGGAGCTGTTGGAGCGGGGCCAGAGGAGGCCACCAAGATGATGCGAGGGCTGGAGCACCTCTGCTATGGAGACAGGCTGAGAGAGTTGGGGCTGTTCAGCCTGGAGAAGAGAAGGCTCCGGGGAGACCTTCCAGCACCTTCCAGTACCTAAAAGTGCTACAAGAAAGCTGGAGAGGGGCTTTGGACAAGGGCGTGTAGTGACAGGACACGGGGCAATGGCTTTAAACTGAGAGAGGGGAGATTTCCATGAGATCCAAGGAAGAAATTGTTCCCTCTGAGGGTGCTGAGGCACTGGACCAGGTTGCCCAGAGCAGTTGTGGCTGCCCCATCCCTGGAAGTGTTCAAGGCCAGGTTGGATGAGGCTTTG